AGGCCTGGTGCTCTTCTGTGCCCCCTTCCTGAGTAGCTCCAGCCTGTGGGAAGTGCATTCAGTGSTATCCAGCTGCAGAAGTGTGCCAAGCATCCTGGCTCCGCTGTGCCTTGAATCGCTTTGATCCCCTCTTGACGTGCCTTGTGCTGTCACGTGTGCCCGCACCAGGACAACAGTCCTGAAGCTGCTGACCTTTCCCTACCCGTACCTCAGTAGCCAGGGCAATAAAATATAGCCTGCTCACCCTCTAACTCTGCTTTTTCTCCTCACAAAGGTGGTCTAACAAAACACTCTTCTTCTGGAAGTCAAATCCAGAAGTTTTGCTTGCAAACCRAAGGTGTTGGTTTCAAGTTCTTGGAAATGTTTGTGACGTTTCTGCTTCTGGCTTTCTGGGTCAGACTTCATTAGGGTGAACCCACTATAGCTGTGATAAATTGGATTTGGATTATGGGTGTTCAAGTCTGCTTTTTCAATTAGAAATAAAAGTGCAGTCCRGTTGGATGAATAAAGAAAGGATAATGTGCATTTAATTTTTAATTTATACAGTACATAGGGATAGAGAAGGGAAGTCAAGTATGTTTTAAAGGATGGATTACAAATGAGCAGTGCCAGATGGTCTCATGAAGCCACTGTCAATTTTGTTGTATCTTTTATCAGAAATATATTAGATCATGTTTCAGGATGGGATTTTTGTTGGAGAGTGTTGTGGTTCTTCTCCTCAAGTGTCCCAGCACTATTTACAAGGCATATCTTAGAGCTCCTCTGTTTACCCTTCCTGGATGCACCAGGTCCAGGGGTGCACCATTGTAGCACAAAGCAGCCCTGACTTAAAACTCCCAGCATCTTTCCCCATGGAAAGACAAATCTTTGCTAATATGACACTTCCACATAGCTGAGATGATAAGGAATTGATAGAAGTTTCATACTCATCTCTGGTACTCATTAAAGCTGCTCCCTCTAGTGCTCATTAAAAGAAAAATAACTGTGTGTATGTGATATCTGGAAATGGAATATTCATCCCCTCTCTCTCATCTCTCTTCCMCTTTAAAAGAAACCAAAATCACCTTTGCTTTGACGAAGCAAGTAGTTGTTAACCTCAACTGCAGTGCCCTTTTGGCCTGACATCTTCTGTGGTAGTTAACCAAAATTGATATTTAATTGCTTTGAGTGCCTTTCTGAAGTTCRGGTGGTGATTACTGCCCCTAGATGTAGCATGCCACAACAACAGGCTCACCCTGGAATCTCCTCCTTACTGCTCTTTCTCCCCTCGCCCTTCTCACAGCCTTTGCTCTGACTCCAGGTCGCAAACAAAGGTCTCCTCCAAAGGGCAATCCTTGGCTAATAAGAAATATGTAATTTATTAAACCCTAGGGCATTGTTTTCCTGGGTCACATTTWGTTTCCTCAGGGTTTAGGAGCAGCCCATCTTCTTTTTGAGTGAAAGGTGTTTGCCATAAGGGAGATCACTGGTTGGGGGCTGTCCCCAGAGCTGGTGCTACAGGAGTAACACTTGGCAGGACAAGATGTCCAGCATGGAGGGGTGGTGTCTCATCTGGGAAGGATGGCCCTGCTGCACAAACAAAACACAGAGTAACCAGGGCACCCTGAAGAAGCAGTGAGGGAGCAGCTTGTGTGCAACCCAGCAGAGTGCTGGCTGGCAGCTCTGCTAGTGGGCAGTTACTGCCCTGAAAGACATCTAAGTTGATGCACAAATTAGATGTTCTWGCAGGGTTTGAAATGCCCTGGGGAGGCAGGCAGGTGTGTTTGGGAGACTGTAACTGCCTTGTGATCCCCAGCATGTGCMTGCCCAGCATGTGTTTCCTGCTCCCAAATTAGTCGAGGCCTCTTGCCTTCCCCTCTCCAGTCTCTCCCCAAATGTTTATTTCTCCAGCTTCTTCCAGCTGCCTTCTGTTCTTTTTCAAAGTCACTCCTAAGTTCATTCCTGTGCCTGTCTCTGCTGCTGGACAGGCAGGCAGGAACAGGTTATCAGGGTGGACAAAGAATAATTCCATTTTGGATCCTCCCTTCTTGGGAAAATGGCATGTTACTGATCAGCAAATGCAATGGGGCCTGTCCCAGGTCCTGGGGTAGTGACTTTTATTGTTGTCTTGCGTGCCAAATGGGGGCAATCAGGGAATTGCAGACTCATTTTTGGCTGGAGAAGACCTTTAGGATCATTGAATCCAACGGGCAGGTAGATACTGACTGAGGCTGACTTCTAACAAGCACAGGCTGATATTTCCTTAGAGTATGCCTTGTTTCTGCTCCCTGTCAGCACTGCCTATCCCACAAAAACCAGCACCCATCTGTAAGGGAGACCACAGGGCATCTGAGTAAATAAGCCCTGGAGCTGTTGTTCTCACTGTCTGTGTGAGCTTTGACTTGGTGTGTGTAGGATGTAATGARGAAGCTGATTGAATTTCAAGAAACTTGCAGCCTGAAAGGTTCTAGAGAAAAAACAAAACCAGAGCTTCTTTCCTTAGRAGGATTTTTTTGAGGGGGTGGAAATAAAAGTTGTTTTGATTGACTTGCTTTTGATTGAAATTTTAATTGTGATTTTATTTACTACTTGAAGAACTGCTTTTCAGTGAAGTTGGAATAGCTCTAACTTGGCTTTGCAAAAGAGGAAAGGCTTTTTTTTTCATTCCCAATGTGGACTAGGAGCTCATCTGTATATTTTTGCTGCACGAGGGGAAGCGTAATGTTGGTTGACGTTGGGTTTTGTGGGCAGAGCAACATGATTTGAAAAATGCCATTTTCAATTCAGCAAAAAAACATGACCTCAGCAAGTAYGCTGTCACAGCTTCAAAATATGTGTGCCTGGTAAGCCTTGGAAAATGAGTACAGATTGAAATCAGCTGCTGTAGGCTAAGTTTTCGATGACTGCAGCCATACCCGGAATGGGCTGATGGCTTTTTTTGTTGAACAAACCATGTAATCTTATTTGTCATCTTTCTGTTTGCACGACATTAAATCAAAGCATTAAAAAAAAAAAGAATCAACTTGGAGGAAACAAACTATTAAAACTAGTTGACTGCAGAAGCTCTTTTTAATACAGTGATGGTTTCTCTAGGATTTATTCAGTCCTGTCATATTCTTTGTGCTGGCTGGACTTTCTAGGCAGCTGCAACCTAGAGATAAGTTTAGTCTTTTGTCAGGCTACAGTGGAACTCCTCATTTCAACGATATTTTTGTTTTTCTGATTTAAGTTGTTTAAGGGTTAGAAAACTCGTTGACCAAATCCACTCTGTTTGAAGACATTGGAATGGCATCAGGAATGAGTAATTATTGCTGCTGTGATTTATTGTATTTGCTGGGGTAGCACCTGGCAATCTGCTGAAAGCTGAGCTCTGTTCCTAGGCTTTGCAAACGCCCTGCCTGCCTCCTCGTTCCATAAATCAGCCCAGCCCCAGCGCTGCCTGAAGGTACATAATGGGCAACAACGTGGTTTTGTTAATGTTGCATCTTGAATAAGAAGCCCCAGCCAACCTCTGCACGTCACAAAACTGTTTTAAAAGCTGCGTCAAGCATTTTTGCTTCGAGTCTACAACCAAAATGACTCTTGGTCTTCTGAGGCARATAAGGGTGCCTGGGTTGTATGTACCTGAGAATCAATGCTTACAGCTTCAGCCYGCAGGGTGCTGAACTTGCAGTCGAAGAGCAAGATTTGATTTTAATTTCTTAACCAAAAGATAAAGTAAACATGAAAATAACAATGCCATCATTTTACTGATATCTGTGTAGGAAATATTTACATCCATGCAGCTCTGTAGCTCTTCAAACTGTTACAGGCATGGCCCACTGCAAAGAGTCGCTATGCACAGGAGGTTAATGTTTGCCTTGAAAGTCCTTCTTTGTTAAATTGCTGYTTGATCTGAAGGGGTGTTCTGGATCCAAGATTTTGTCAAAGGATCCTTCTTCACTGTGAAAACCTCTGTATTTCAACCCATTTTCTCCCATTCAGAACAAAACGATGCACAGTGGAAGTCTCTGCTGCTCTTTCACAGGGATGACATTTCACTAGCCCCTTTCCCTGCATCCAGAACCTCTGCCACAGCTGGGGCATTTGACTGCTGCCTATCCCTGCCAGCTTCCAGYCAGAACCTGCCTGGAGCCATTATCAGCCTTGCAAAGGACTCTAGCTCCTGTTCAGCCTGATTGTTAAACCCCTGACTAAAAGCRTTCCATATTGTCCACATCAAGAAGTTTCAGATTCCAGATTTTCTAGGGTGGTTTTTATAATTTATTGACTTTYATTTCAATCTCAAATTGAACTCAGGGTCTCCCCACAGTGTTCACTCTTGTGGTATCCCTGATCTGCTGGGCATTAGGATGCAGCCTCTCCAGCTCAGACCATGTGTAGTGGTGTCTGAGTGCTGTGTCTGTTCAGCAGTGGCCAGGAAGACGAGCAGCTCTGGGAAGCATGGGAAGGACATGCTGAACTGCGTGCAAGTGTGCAGCTGCTTCCTTCGTGCRCGGAAGAAATCAAGTGCGTGTCCCTGCTGTAAAGTCAGGGGAACCTTAACCCCAAATTGTCAGCTATTGAGCTTGRCCTACACCCTTCCTCCCATGTCGTGCCAGTGGCTGTGCAGTTGGAGTGGGGCCAGCCACGCTATGGAGTTCTCCTGCCCCAGGAGCTCTTTGTGGAGCCCCCGGCAGGAGTGGGGTGTGGTGTGGTCAGCATCTCCAGGAGCAGCACTGAGGAAACCCTGTAACAAGTAACAAGTTACTCTGGATGAAAAGAAATAAGTCTGAGGAAGAAACTTTCTATTTGCGGTATTTGCACTGAGTTATTTTAGTTTATATTTTTCTCCGAGTCAGGGGTGAGTCAGCCTGGGATGTGGCTCAGACCACCTCCTTTGCGAGCCTTCAGGGAAGGCAGAGACCACAGCCTGTGCCCCACTGTGCCTCTTACCAGTGCTTCACTAGACTCTTTATTTTGCAACTTTTAAAAAACCCGACAGGCTGATGTTATTTTTTTCCCCTTTCCTCTCTCTCTAGTTTTGTATGGAGCTGAACCAGCCGACGCTGCCAAACATCCGCAAGTGGAAGGGCCCTAGAGGATGTTGGAAGGGTGTTGTTTCCGAAAAACCCTCAGGCCAGCTACACAAGGTACATTAATCCCCAAGTCTGAACTTTGGCTTTGATTTTTTTTCCCCCTCTAACCAAGGACATATTTTGAATGTTTAAGGCAACACTTTCTGCAAATCCTTTTTTGGCAAGGTTTGCATTTCTTGTTTTTTAAGCCGACTGTTCCTACAGCTTTTAATTTGACTACACAATTTATGTTTTGGAAGAACTGTGGCACACTTGTAAGGAGGAAGATGTGTTTGTGTTTGGTGAATGTGTATTTGGGGGAGGCGGATAAAAGCAGTACAGATATCTAGACAAAAAGTCATGCTTTTGGACAAGGAAAGAGATCTCAGTTTTTCCTGGCAGGCTGCAGTACTTTTGACATTTTTTTGTGCTAGTCACCTGAGCTTGCTCCCTGGTGCTGCGCTGGCTGGCATTTGGAAGGGCTCCCTATTTTGCCAGTTTGCAAGTGATGAGCCCGCAGAGGAGCTGCAGCCTGCCATCCTCACCTGGAAGAGTTTACCTTGTGTGYTCCCCAGGGTTCTCAGCACAGGTGTTTAAAATGCTGTGGACTCCATTKGAAATCTGCACCGTGCTGCACTGTGCTTTTCCCTGCAGCATCTTCTGGTCTGGGAATATGTATTTATATTTATATGTARGTATATATAGATGTACTGCAGGGAGGTACTGATTTATTAAGGTGGTGACAGCTGCACCTGCTGCCCTTGACAATATTTAAGGTATAGCTGCACTGGGCTGGACATCACTAACAGTGCCCAAAAACAGCCTTTCCCAAGGGAAATCTTACTTTTTCACCCTTAAGGGTGGTAATGAGTTTTCAGAGCAGTGTCCTACTCGAGCTGAAGCCTGTTGTTGCTGGTCAGGGCCGTCCATGGTGCAGTTAGTGCAGTGTGGATGTTGTGGGTGGAAGCAGGATATAAAAGTGGTGCCTGTCACTACTCAGGGCAGTCTTGGACAGTCTGTTGATCCAGAATGATCTATTCTGAGCACTGTTGTTACTAAATACGTGGCTGCATTTGTGTGCTGTAGCCATGCTGCTCAGAATCCACATTTCTTCATTTTGGCTTTTCTAAATCAGGTTGCATCACTGTTCACTGGTTTTGGACTGATGTTTTCAGAGGTGCCASCTCCTTTTATTGCCCTCCTGAGAAAAACCAGGAATAAGGGAAAAATAAGCACAAACAAACCAAAGCAAACCACCTGAGTAGCACAAGGATTGTACTCTAGCTAGACAGACGCAGAGGGTAGAGATGAGTCTGGAAAGATACAGAGTGTCTGAATGTGTCTAAAGGTTAATACAATCCACATTTAATTGTGATACAGAGTGCAAATGTCCTTCAGGACATTTTTATTCCTGGCTGGAGTTTTCCTTTGGGATCTCTTGTTAGGCCAGATCATTAAACCACTGCATATAAATAGTTGTGGAAAGTTGTCAAAGTTGTTTCCTCAACTTTTTCTTTTTTTTCCCAAGAATTTTTAATAAACGTCTCAGAGTTTCTATGTTAAATTTAGTGTCTTTAGTCAGTTCTTTCTTGAGTTGTACTTGCAAAGCTAACAATGGCAGCTTTGACTATGGGCTGAGTAAATAAAAATGATCATCCACCTTGTTTTACAGATAGCGATATAAGGATGAATATTACCCAAAATTATGGGAGAAATGTGCARTCAAACTAGGATTTGAAATTTTATCTGACTCTTCCTTTTAGCTGCTTTAACAAGAATCTGATTTGTGCTGGAGAACCCTTCACTAAGTCAAAATGTCTCTTCTGTTCCTGGGGCTAGTTAGTTAGTCAGTCAKTCGGGTTTTAGCACCRTGTACACAAATACAGTGGGGTAACYCCAAAAATGCAGCATTTTTGGCACAAGCTGGTTTTGGGACGCTCTGCAGAGCTAAATAACGCAAAATGGTGGATGGTGCTTCCAGCTTGTGTTTCCATACATTCCAGGCATTCCAACCAGGCAATGACTTTTGACCACCACATTGATGTGAACTCTGGAGCCTGGAAATAGCAAACAGCTGTTAACAGCAGTTTTATTCTTCCACATCTTTTCCTGTAGCAGTTTTTAGACCTTAGGCTCCTTACTGGTGGAATAATTWTGTCAGTATTTTAAAGGTGAGTTATCAAAGGAGCGATCAAAGAATTTTAACCAACCTTAATCCTTTCAAGGCTCTTGGGAAGTCAGCAGAGCAGTTAACACTTTTTTGTTGCAGCTGAAATTGAGAAAACTCTTTCTTGCGGTGGATTTAACTTTGATTTGCTAAGGGAAGTGGGTTTGAATGATGCCAAGGAAAATGGTGTGGGTGATGGGAGAAGAGGCTGACAGGCTTTGAATTAGATACTGCTGCTGGTACGACCAGCTTAGACAGCTTTCTGAAAATGCCAATTCCACGTCATGAAGTCATCAAAAAAAAGCCCATTCAGGATCATAGAAGCAGAGCTGAAAGGGGCAGAGAGCTGAGCATGAAAYATTCAAGCTGGAAAAGAGACAGGGAAATGACAGGACTGAGAGGTCTAGACCAGATTTCATGCCAAGAGACTGAAGGGGGCTGGCTAAATTTAGCTTGTGGGTGAAAAAAGTCTRTGAGATGGTGTCAAGCCTGGGGAGAAGGGAAAACTACACAGCATCATCTACTGCAAGCCCTAGCAGTCACCCCGTGAGACACCACAAGACACCAAGCTCATGGTTAGACAATTAGTCATTAGGGTAATGAACTGCCTCGTTACTGACCATGCTCAGAGGTATCCAGTGCCTTGCTTGGAGTAGGAGGAAACGAGGACCACGTCAGCCCAAACACACACACGAGAGGCAGCATCTTTCAGCCCTGCAGTGGTCCTGAGCATGCTCTGCCTTTAGAAGATCAAACAGATTATTAAATCCTTGGCTTGACTGGAGCAGTGCTGGAATCAACTGGGTGTCCAGCAGCCAGTGTGCAGGTGTGAGGGACTGYGAGCTACAGAGCAATGGGTGTTTCAGCTTTTCAGTGAAGTCAGTGGAGCTTCCCAGGAAGCATTCCTTCCATGTCTGGTGCAAGTTTTAGTGGGGGTGAGATGAGGAAGCCTTTCCACCTGTCCTCCATATCTCCTACTGATAGCACAGGAAGCTGTTTCTCCTTTATGTGTGTGCACAGCCAGTTGGGCTTCCTTCCCTCAGCAGGTACCATGCCTGGATATAGATACAGATATAGATATAGATATAGAATAGATAGATATAGATATAGATATAGATATAGATATAGATATAGATATAGATATAGATATAGATATAGATATAGATATAGATATAGATATAGTTATAAATATAGATATAGATATAGATATAGATAGATGATATAGATATAGATATAGATATAGATATAGATGTAGACAAATATGGGGCTACATTTGAGCAGAAGGTTTTGTTTTTACCATCTTATGATGGGAATTTCTCTTTTCCATTTTATAATTCCAGGGAGTTGAATATTCTGGCTTCCTCTGGGATACAACTGCTGGCATTGAGCTGAAAGACGCCTCCTCTCAGGAGACTGCACAGACTAATGGCAACGGGAGGCATTCATATCCTCATCCATATCTTGCACATTTCAAGGTAACTTCCACTGTGGCAATTGAGCCACAGAGCTTTTACTGAAAATAATTTGGCTAAGATGAAAAGAGACACAGCCTTCTAACAGACAAAAATTTGCATGAGCATCTGACCCATCTCATCGTTATCCCATGGCTTGATGACATTTAGGTGCTTAATGGACCTTAATACACGTGGTAGTTCACCACAGTCAGTCCTTTCCCTTGGTCCTGTGAGAGCGAACCTGGCTGCAAAGGAGTATTTGAGAACCTGAGATCCTCAGTAGCATCCACAGCCACCTTGTTTGGCTTTTGCTGAATTAACACAGCAAGGATGAGGTGTGTACCCWGTAGAAGCCAGGCCAGAGGGATGGGATTCTTGTCAGTGCCACAGAGAGGGATAAGTGCAGGGAGTATTAATCTCAAAGTATCTATCAGATAATTATTAATAAATAWAGTATTAGTAACTAATTCATTATACAAATAGGTCCAAAGGATCCCCAGAAGATAAACAGAAGATTGCAGGAAGTCAACAGCTCCTTTCAAGATACATTAAGTTTCTTGGTTAGTCTCTGTGACGAACTGGGGCTAATCACAAGGCAGTAGTAATTAGCCCCTGTAATGACCATGACATTATTTGTAGCTTATTAACAACTGGTTTTGTGTAAACTTACTTTCATGAGCAGCTGACTTCTTTCTGCAACTGTGCTGAAAGGAAGCTGTTTGCTTATGCAAACCAGTKTCCCCAGAACTGAGAGGTTATCAGATTATTGCAAACAAAGCTGCAAAATGCCTCCCTCCTCTTCCTCCACAAACTGAGACACACCAAAACACACCACACACATAGCAATGTGAGTTCTACTGCCCCAGATTTCCTGCTGAAGGTACTGGGAACAGGCACATGATGTTGTATTGTGACCTTCCATTCTGTGTTTGCAGGCTTTGATTTCTCCTCCTTGCTCCCCCAGGTTGGAATGAATGATCTGACCGTGGTTAACCTTCACCTGGCCTTGCCCTCCTTGGCAGGAGAGAATACCGGGAAGAACCACGACAGCCACAAACTGGCAGCGTGCGCGCAGTCTTTGCAAGAGACTCTGAAAGGTAGGGCAGGGCTTCTCCTGACAGCCATCTCATGCACTATTACCTAATTAAAAGGAATTTTTAAAAGAGTAAAATTTGTCTCAGTGAGCATTTTGCAAATATCCTCATCAGCCCCACAATTGTCTTTACCTGCATTTGTGTGATGCATAGCGTGGCAAATGTGCTTTTCCCTTTCTCATTGTCTTAACAGTCTTTACTAATTAACACAAACAGCACAGGAGATCCTTTGACACCATTTTTTTCAAATTAAGTTCCTTATGATTTTATGCTACTGTAACATCAAGTTCTGCCAAAGGAAAAAAAGGTCACCAGAGCTGATACCCTATTTTAAATGCTTTGTGGAAATGACAACTACCTGATATCAGAACAAAGCTTAATTATTTTTTTTTTCTTCTGAGAGAAATAGGTTCTATGTATTCAATTTTTAGATAATTGGATGCTCTTTGAAAAACCAAAGGCAAATTCAGAGATTGCTTCTAATGAGAAAAGAGACCAAATCCTGCTTTGGTACCTGGATGTAATATGCATAATAGTTTTGCTGATTTCAAATAAGTTGCTCTGGCTTAAGGATGAAATGACGCCAGAATTTTAAGCTGAGCTTGAGCAATATAACAGGCAGCTGAACTTCTTCATTTCGGTGCATTTGCTTCTTACTTTGAAGCTTGAAAATTATTGTCAGCTTCCTGCAAAGCAGAACAAAACATTTTAGATTCTAAATGTTGCTACTCTTGCTAGAGAAACAGAAAAATCTACCCCTTGGTTTACTGCTTAAGAAAGATGTGAAAGGGTTGCAAGACCATACATGTGATGATTTTCAGTTTGTCCCAGTTCAGCAAGGTTGATCACTTGGAAGCATTAACATCCCTCTTGTAAATCTCAAGAGGTGTTTCAAGTTTTTCTGTGTGTTCTATTGTTGTTCCTTTCGAGCTGCAGAAGTCAGTCAGAGCTCTTTTAGGTGCTACTGATTTAAGCATTTGTCCATGTACTTTAAAATTGGAAAAGATGAACGTAAACAAAAGGATCATTTGTTTAATCCCCAAAACTAAAACATGGGATAAATGTGTAGCTCTTTTGAAGTCAACTGAGTTGCACTTCCACTGCATCTAAATTTAGACTATTGATGTTCTCTTTATTTCATGTTTTAATTTTCATATGGCAAGCATGTTAGTGGAGCATGCTTGTTCTTGGCTTAGTCTTAGTCAAAAGAAGAAAGTCAGATTCCTCCAAATTGGTGGGATGCAGGTGTGGTCTCTTAAGCAAATGGTAGTGCACACATGTGACTTTGAAGCACTGCATTATCCTGTCAAAATCAATGTCACACCTAAAATTACTGCCATCCTTCAACTTCTTCCAAATCAGCCCACAACATATGGGCAGTAAGAAATTATTTGTCTGTGGGTACTGCAATAAATTGGAGTTCCCATTTTGCTAACAGATGCCTGTTCTGTTATCTTTTATTCTTAMGAAGAGGCATGTGAGCATCTGAGGAACATTGTTTACTATCCACAGCCTCCTGTAATGCAGGATATAGTATTCCCATATTTTTACCATTAGATTGATAGGTGCTGGTTCCTTTTTCCCTCTCYTTTTTTCCTTTCTTCACTTCTGGAGAGAGGCAGTGGCTATTGGCTGCTCATAGCTAACTCTTTGCAGCAGCCCTTCTGTCTTCTCTCAAGAACCCCAGCAGTCTGTCTGCAGTGTGGTGACCATGGGCAGCACACAGATGTTATTCTGGATGTYCTGGTGGTGGATGGACCCAGGCACCACGGTGCTGCGTGGATTGAGAGCAGTCTGACGACAAGTACTTGCAAGTGCTGGTGGATGAGAAACTGGACATGACCCAGCCATGTGCTCTCACAGCCCAGAAAGCCAAACCTCATCCTGGGATGCATCAAAAGCAGCAYGGCCAGMAGAGCAAGGGAGGGGATTCTGTCTCTCTRATCTGCTCCCATGTGACCCTGGAGCACTGTGTCCAGCTSTGGGAWCCCCAGCACAGGAAGGRTGGTCCACAGAAGGGTAGTGAAGATGATCAGAGGGCTGGAGCACCTCTCCTGTGAAGAAAGGCTGATAGAGCAGGGGTTGTTCAGTCTGAAGAAGAGAAGTCATAGGGAATATCTTACAGCAGTCTTCCAGTACCTGAAGGGGGCCTACAAGAGAGCTGAAGAGGGACTTTTTACAAGGACATGTAGTGATGAAACAAGTGGGAAGGGTCTTAAACTGAAAAGGATAGGTTTAGGTTCTTTACTGTGAGGCTGGTGAAGCGCTGGCACAGCTTGCCCAGAGTAGCTGTGGGTGCTCCATCCCTTGCAGTGTTCAAGGCCAGGTTGGATGGRGCTTTGAGCAACCTAGTGGTAGTGTCCCCACCCATGGCAGGGTGGTTTAAACTAGATGATCTTTAAAGTCCCTTCCAACCCAAACCATTGTGCAATTCTGTGATCTCTTTTCCCCACAAGTTGGCCATGTCCCATGCATCAGGCCCTGGGCTTACAAGACCTCTGAGAAGCAGTAAGGGAGCCTCTGAGCAGCCAAATGTACCATCACACCCTTCTCATCATATGTGTGTCACTCCATCCAGGAAGGATTTGGGGGTTTWGGAGTCTGTTTAATTAATGAGAGAATTCATCCAGGGCATGGGAAAATCAGGGAGCATGTCCTACAGAAGTCCCCTTTGCTTCTGCCATGAAGCAAAGAAGGGTTTTCCAGTGCCTGCAGGGAAGCAGATTTCAACACTGCAGACTTTCTGCAGGCACTGTCAGTCCCTCAGCTGATTGCCTTGGCACACCAGAGCTCAGCCACTGCGGCACAGGGCTGAGTTAAGGCTCTGCTTTGCTTTGCTGGCCAAGAGCCACCCACAGGCAGTGCCAAAATTTGCTGGTGCTTCAGTGAATTTGAAGATGCATTTGCAAGCACACCAGACTTTTTCTTCACCTGAGGAGTTCTCCGTTGACAAGGGCATGGCTGCTTTGGGCTCTGAGGGTGTGTGGGAGCACCACTGAGAGGTCATGAATGGGACATGTGCCTGGCTGCTGTGGCCTTTATGCCACTGTGTCCCAACAGATGGAGGCTCTGGATCCGGGTGGACAGTGCAGTCTGTGTCAGGGACCTTTGCAGCAAAAGATTGGCTGGTAAGAGAGCACCTGCTGCTCTGTCTGTTGGAGGAGAAGCGGGACCAGATTGCATCAGCTGAGGAGCCTCTGGCTCCTGAGGAGCAGGAGAATCAAGCCCTGCCAGTCCTAAACTGATTTCCTCTTAAAGAGGAGAATCAAAGCACAGCACCAATAGCATTGTCTCCATTTTCTGTTTTCCCCTCCATCTGATTGTAACTGTGGGCATTGTGATTGCAGTTTTTGGTCATTTATCATGCTTTATTATGAGCAAGGGCATGATTTCTTCCAAAACTTTTGCTAGGTTTGGCTGAGAGCCTTTGGGGCTGAACCATGAGACCCCTGAGCTGAGAGCTGCGGCTGCTGTGGGCAGCTCTGCTCCCTGCCTGTGCTGAGAGACCCAGGGGTGTTCAGTGAGACAGAGTCATGCACTCAGGGGGATCCAGGAGCGTTCACTTCCTTCCCTCTCACGGCTGGATGTCTGTCAGGGTCTTGGGAGGCAGACAAGCCACGTAACTGCAGTGCTGGCGTGCCTGATGTTGTTGTAGCAGGAACTGGCAGAGGTAGGAGCAGGCTGAGAATGAGCCAGGACAAGGGGAAATGAAGTTGGTGGTTGTGTCGAAAATGGGTTGCTTGCTCTTCCTTGCTTTGCATAGGGCTGCCTGATGCACTGCCCACTCTTCTGCAGTCTGAAGAGTCTCAGAAGCTCCTGTCAGAGGGGAACCAGAAGCACTCCTCTCTCTCCCCAGTGGCAAATTGGGTTGCAGCTTCTTAAACATGCTCCAGCCTATTCTGTCTGTCAACTTCACGCTTTGTTATGATTTCATGCRTAGTTACTCTGCATGCAAAAGTTTAAATGTGTGAAGAACATAGTGATTCCCTCCCTGGGCAGCCAGCTGCAAGCTGACTTCTTCCCTCCTTCATCCAGGTGCTGGGTCTTTTAGCCTCTGCTATTTCTAACCTGTCCAGAAGGGAACAGTCAGTTAAAGTTTTCACTTGTAAGTAAGGTGGGCTTTTTTCATAGATTTTTCATTGTAAGAGAGATAGGCTTGGGGATTTGCTAAAAGAAGTGAGAATAGAATAGAATAGAATAGAATAGAATAGAATAGAATAGAATAGAATAGAATAGAATAGAATAGAATAGAATAGAATAGAATAGAATAGAAT